CAAATATTTTACCTGAAATGTTTTATTATATCTGGTGTAAATTCTATCAAACATGTCTGAGGTAATTCTACTTTGGATATTGTATACGGGGAACTGTCTAATATAATTTCTTCTAAATTTTTTTGCAATAATCCTGGCCCATTTTTTGTCTCTATTTGTCGTAAAAAGAAATTCACATATTTAAAATAAAATTATTCTTAAATGTTCCAGCAGAATTTTAATTACCTAAAAAATTGTCAAAGACAATGAGGACGGTTGCTAGAAGGCATTGCATCATTGCTATAACTTGAGTTCTTGTGGTATCATAAGAACTGTTAATTACGGTTTTCAAGGCAGATTTTCTAAACTCTAAAAAGTTACTAAGTAGTTGAGTGATGTCCTGATTTTCCAAAAGTATCATTGCAACTAAAAACGAACTTGCTTCCTAAAACCACAAATCGAATTCCCCAATATGCTACATACATATAAGTTAATTTACCTCAGAATTTATTTTTATTGATTGAAACTTATCTTTAATCCTTTTAAAAATCCTATCTCTTATGACATCAATGTCTGACTTAAGGCTTTTAACTATTGGCAATCGGTGTATAACATCCTCTTTTAAAAGCTTAAGACCTGTAATTAAGCTTAAATTATTGATTCTGTATTTGTTTTGTGATTTATAACATACCTGTATGAACATGTTGACCAAGTAAATACAGCTGAGCAGCAAGATTACAGTTACTATTTTCTAATGATAACCAAATTTGATTTTTTAAAACCATTAATAGCATAATTTGAACTAGAATAGCTCGTTCTTCTGTTGCTTTACTAAAATAGATGATATTTTAATCAACTAAAGGCCATGTTATTAGTTCAATACCTCTCCAACTTTCCAGGCAAAGTATAATTATTTAATTGTTTTTTTTCTAGCAGCTCTTCACAGTTGTGTATTATTTTGTCAATGCTGTCAACAACTTGTTTAGAAGTGACTTTCATAACGTTAATCACTTCTGATGCAGTTAATATATCTTTATATTTATCACCCACAACTTTTCGCAAATCTGATCTCCTATTTTCTATTTCAAAGTCTAGGGCTTTAACAACTTCCTGCAATTCCTGAACACTGCGTTCCTGACATAATTTTTCAATGTCCAAATTAATCAAATCATTACTTATCTTCGCCATTTTCGGTGTATTTAGATAATATGTAGTTAACTAATTGAAACAAACTACAATATTTGAAAACACTACATTATGTTGTGCAAATTAATATTATCAATTACAGGTTATGTTTGTGAAGCATAGATAATTTGTGAAGTATTGTCTATGGACTTCATAGTGTATAGCATGCATTTGTTCTCTAGATCTATAAGACCATAATCATGCGCCATCTAACGTCGAATTATCCAATATGTGTTGTGCAGTTTTGAATAAAGAAATTCCACTTTCGTGCGCAGTTTTTTAAAAATTTGATACTATATTACTTATATATCATTTAAAATAACTTATAATCATTTACTGAAGCAAATGAAGTGCTTGGTTTAGGTACGCTCTAAAAAAAAACAATAAAAAATTACAATGGTTCTTAAAACCGATTTATTTTCGTAGCATTTACTTTCTGTTTTTGAGTTTGTGCACCGGTAGATGCGAGAACCTTTTGTGCGGGCGCTGTAACGGGTAACAAGGGGAACCATACAGTACCCGATGGGACGCTGAATGTTATTATCGATGGTTCATTTTCTTGTTCCCGCTTTTCACCCGTTCCAATGTTCGCTAAATGTTCGGCACTTGGTAATAAACATCCAAAAATCACCTGGAAAATAAAAACAAAAATTAGGTGTTTGTTTTTTTTAGTTACAAATATGAAAGATTGGAAGTTTCTGACTTCATTTAATATAAAACGGTATTAACAGATTATGTACATTTTAATATGATATAGAATTTGCAGATGGGATACTCTTTTCAAAAAGTTTTATAGTTTACAGTGTATACTGCAACCAATTATATCCTTTTTATAAATTTTTAATGATACATACTTGCGTTTGTAGAACACTGTACTTGACGTTGTTTAGCAAGGGCTTGTAGAGAACATCTAAGTCAAAAGGATCAACTTTCGACCTCAGTTTATCGCAGATCATTTGCGATAAATGATGTAAATTCGCGTTTTCTTTTGGAATACTGAAAGTTGTTAGATATTTAACGTCGAAAAGAAATTGGAGTGCTTGTATTTGGTTTAAGTCTTCTAACGCGAGTCTTTCGTAACAATCAAGAATTGTAAGCAGATTCTTTTCTAAATATAAAACGTGAATTTCTTTAGGCAACGTGTACGGTAACAGAAGGTTTAATGTTTCCCCTATTTTACTAAAAATCTTTTCGAGAGCTATACTAGGCCTAGAGGGTACTTTAATTTGAGATTTGACAACAGTTTCCTCGGATTCGCCTTCTATTTCGACCGTTTCCCATTTCTAGAAAATTCGAATATTTTATAAGATATTATATAGTTATTAAATTTTTTAATTAAATGAAACAATTACGCACTGGTAACACACCCAGCATGCTGTAAACATTTGAAATATCCAATAACGAATCTATTGTCACTTTGTTTTGGTGTGTGGCAATATCAACCCACAATTGTAAATGTTCTAAACTATTTTGATTGAATTTATCGCAAATGGTAGTCCATAAATTGCTATTATTATCAATTGTGCAACAATTCTTCAAATGGGGGCATAAAGTGATCATTGCCTGTAAAAGTCTTGAAGCTATCAGTAATCGTTTTGATTCATTGTTGGTATCTTCTGTGGATTTTAAATTTTCTCTCATAAAATTAATAAATCTGAAAGTAATGTACAATTCATTTTCTAAGTACATAAAATAAATATGAAGAAAAGGACCTTTCCATGTTCTGTTCGCATTCTTTTTTCATATGTTGTTCCATTCGTCTTCTATCGACGATCTCTTTGCCTAAAGAAATTTGATTATGTTCGGTTATAGAAATTTCCCTTTTTTCATTGACTTTATACAAGTACATATTGACTTCCTCGTTAATTTCAGAAAATTTAAAATCGAAATTCCGACAAAGATTCATTATTCCGATATTGTAGCCCTTCATTTTCATAAATAATGCTGAAATCTTGTAATGTTAACAGTTATTTTTTNAAAATATAAATAACAAAATGAAATAATTATGCAAGAGGTTGTTGGTTAGGTAAAAAGGTGCAATAATTATTACGTTTTCATATTAACATAGTATAAGATTAACCTTGGACATTTTATGTACCTCAAAGGTGTTACTATCTTCGGATCATGTTTCAATAAAAAAAATCGCATGAATTATTAATAAAAACCGGTTTAGATGATATTTTACCAATTCGGTTATTCGTAGAAGTCAGTAACTTGTTCTTATGATTAGTAGTTCCTCATCAAATAATGTAAAAAGTTCAATATTTGTTTATGCAAACTTCGTTAGGCGCTACGTTGTTCATTACATTTGTACAGGAAAAAAAAGACAAAGAATCGGATAAGGACTAATAACTAATAAAAAACTTCGAAAACAATATGTACAGGGTGTCCCAACCCATCCTATTTTCTCTATGGTTCATGATTAGATAATCAGTATAAGAGTAAGAGTTAGAGGAAATTGTTTTATAGGGATTTTGATTTTTATTAGGCAATAAAAAAATATGAATACAGTTAATTAATTTTATGTAGTACCTACATACACAAATAGGTTAAGGTAGAAATGGAACCTATGGTAAAGGAGTAGATAAACCAGAGGACTACCCTATGGGCATTGTTAGCACGAGGCAGTCTCTTGTTGACAATAGAAGTGTGCGTAACACGTGTCCGCAGTGAACAGGTTCTTGTCTACAAGGGGGTGAGTTTCTTTTCTGTTTATTTATAAATCGGTAAAAATATTATTTGAAGAAATACGAAACTGACCTGCGACGATTACAAATAGACATTATTATATAACACTCGCTGCAGTAAGGGAATGCTACAATTTTATAAATGTAATTTATAATAAATGAGGAATCAGAGCTAATAAACATTTATACATTACTGCAAAAGCAACAAATCGACGTTTCGTGTTAATTTATTGTCTTTAATAAAGCTCTGATTCTTTATTCATTGTGAAGAAGGGGGAAGATATGGATAAAGTTTTATAATTACATTTAAACGTATAATGCGCTCATTTACTGTCAGACATAAATTGTTTGTTAAATAGGTACCTACAATATACCTAGATAAACAATTTTTATTACACAGCAATTTCTCTGGACATCCTGATATACATAGACCAACCTATGGTAAAAGTAAATATTAGCAATGCACACATTACCTCATCGTTATTACTCATGTCTTGATGTTTTTTGATTAAATTAAAAAAGTCATTTGTGGTTTAATAAGTACTGTCTAGATCTATCTGTGGACAGTTACATACATAACAACAATATATACATAAGTGATAGGAGATTAGCAATTGATATACATAAAACAATCCCTTAGGGTTTGTAAGAACAAAAGAATACAATATCAGGGTTTCAAGGTGATTGAAAATTAATAGAAGTTATACATGTTACGCTAAATTCGTGTAACTGACTATTGCGCGAAAAAATTTACCTAATTGATTAATTAAAGCAAAGGACATGTCGATTTCATGTATTAAGCAAAATCTTGTCTTAATACAACCTGTATTAGGGAATACAGTTTTACCGGAAACATGATATAGGCAACCATGCAAATAAAGCACATGAGCTGGGTTTTAAATTGAGGTTATGTTTATCGTATAATAATTATTGCGATTATTGATGACGGTTTGTTTTACGGCGTGGAAAGTGTAAATAGGAATAAAAAAAACTTAACGTTTTCTGTGAACTTCTAGTGTACAATGAATAATGGCAATCGTAATACTGGAGCAGTAATAGAAAAGGTAGAAAAAAATTTAATTTGTATAAAACATGGCGTTGTAAGTAGGTACTTGGTTATCAGGAAATTTTATACGGTCGACAAAATTTAAGGAGTTCAAATTGATTGAAGTTGTGATTATTAAACCAACCTTATTCGGAAAGATTCAATAGGTTCTGGTCAAGGTTACAAACAATGTGAATGTACTACAAAGTCTACATCAAAGCCCATATTGCTGTAAACAAATTAAATGACATTTTACGACAACAATCACATCGTCGTTGTTCTTTTCCCATTGTAACCTTATGAGCCTAACCTAACCCAGCTTTAATCAAAGAATGGTTTTGTTTAATTGGTTAGGACCAGCAATAGACAACACGAACGTAGTGAAAAAATTATTAAAGTAATTTGCTAATGTTACTTGTTAGACATATTTAAGACTTAATAAGTTATATAAACGAAATCGGATATTATTTTTCTTCGTTTTTCTTCCTTGACGATTTTACGACAATCACAAGGGTAGTATGGTTAGTGGTCGTGTATGAATTGCACAACCAGCTAACCACACTGCCATTATGCGTATCGCAAGTATTCATTACTCATAAGAACAATCCTCCAATACGGTCGTCGTTCCTTGAATATTTCTGGATTATCCATCATTATTTATAAAATGTTTATTAAGTACCTATCGGTATATCACTTCAAAGTTACTATTATTACATACAGTATTTTTAAAACTTTCCAAATAAAACATATAACAAAAGTTATATCTAATTAGTTTATTGAAAGTTTATAATACCTTTAAAATAATTAAAACTTCTGCAATTGTTGCACTTTATAAAACAGAAATGAAGGGTGGGTAATTAATCTAACAATGTCACTATCCAAAAATCAAGATTTTTTAAAAACTACTTTTATATAATTTCTGGGTGTCTTCTTTTATTAGAAAATTACCAATTTATTATTAAACATAGGTGGTACACGGCATAAACTTTTGCAATTAATTTTTGGAACATACCAATCTACAATCTATGTACATCTATAAATATATGTTTAAAATACACACAGGGTAAGGTTTTGTAATTTTATCTGTTTTGTCAGTGGATTTAGTTTTTAAAGTTTTCAAAGCAAAATTGTTTTATACTTTGTTTATCCATATTTTAACCTAACCCAATTTAGTTAGTTAATCACAACTACAAAAAATAATCCCCGTTCCCTACGTTGATTCAACATTCCCTAGA